CAATCTTTAATGGCATCTTCGGTTAAAACGTGATTTCTTCCCTCCTACATGCTCCAAATACTCCAACGATTAAGACAACTTTAGCTAACAGAAATTCTTTGTCATCGGCTTCTTTCATAAAGCGTTCTATTTCCAGTTTTGTAAATACTTTTGATTTCTTTGCCTGATATCCTGAAGTTTTTTTTAAATGTAATAAGGTTTGTGAATTTGCTAATATCTACGTTTCTGTTCAGACACAGAGTTGACGGCTTTAAGGTAGTAGATAACTTCAGGGAAATAGGCTAGCAGGCTAGCAATACCTTTTCTGTGAAACTCTCAACATGTTTTTCTTTAATCCAGGTTTCAAAGTTGTAGGTGATCTCGTATCGTAAGTTTTTCGACTTCTCGGGCGAAAACTGCGCTATATAACGTGGATAGCGCAGTTTCAACAACTTGTTGAATATCCAAAGACTCGTCATTATCACTCATTTTTTCACAAAACTTTGTAGGAAATACGGCGACGTTTGAACCTGACAGAACTTTGTCATTAAACAATGCATAAACAATGCCTTAGAAACCGATTACCAGAACATTTTAAAAAATGTTTAAAAATAAATAATAATAATAGCATGAAAATCTCAAATTATCCGCTTTCACAAAAAATCTTGTATGAAACTCGTTGCGAAAAATGTTTTTAAACACTCGAATCATTTTGCGTCCCTTGCTTAAAGCACATTCATTTCGCAACTTGTTACATAAATAGCTATACAGGGTGCTACAAATTCGAGGTACGAGCATTAGTATCTCGGAAACCGTAATAGATACGAAGATGGTTAAATTGGGGCAAAGTTGCGCCTTGGGATGTTTGCCAACATGTTATCAAAAAGTTTCAAAACTTCCAGGATTGCTGAGTTTTTTTAGAAAAACGGATTTTTGAAAATCAATTTTATTTTTTCCTGTCATTACTTTTTAGAAAATCAAAAACTAATTGAACATTCTCATAGCCACTTTGTCAGGGCTATCAATGTCAGGAAAAATACTGTCATTTTTAGATTTTCAAATTATCTGATAATTTGTGAGATACATAGGCCAACTTAATTGTTTTAAATACGGACCTACATTTCTTATTTAAGGTTTTGAAAGAATTCAGTCTCCTTCCTGAGTACAACGATATGCCACAGTTTATTTTTTTTTTGTTTTATATACTTTAAACAACAACAAAACTGTTTAATTATTATTTAATATACAGTGGTGGCCAAAAGTATGGAAACTTTTTTAATTTGTCATTTATGCTGAGAAATTAAAATATGAAATAAAACGACTTATATAATCGTGACCTACAAATAATTTCCTACAAAACCTAATACATTTAAATAAAAAATTACAGCTATCAAAAAATATATAAAAAATTATGAATATTTTCTTGGTCAAAAGTATGGAAACTTAAGAAGAATGTTTATTAAAATTCAAGATAATATAAAAATTACTAATATTTAGTGGAATATCCCTTTGAATTAATTACTTCTCTACATCTTCGTGGCATCGAATCGATCAATCTCGTACAATTTTTACTGGAAGTGGCCGCCCATTCAGTTTTTAGCACTTCTCATAATTCATTTTTATTTGAAATAGAATGGCTTCGAATTTTGCTATCTAAATGGTCCCATAAATTTTCTATGGGGTTAAGATCCGGAGTCTGTGAGGGCCAATCCATTAGTGGAACATTATGTTCATTTAACCAATTTTGAACAAACCGAGATTTGTGCTTGGGATCATTGTCTTGCTGGAACAACCATCTGAGTGGCATTTCTTCATCAGCATGAGGCAGCATATTATTCTCCAATATGTCTTTGTAGAAAAAACGGTCCATTATCCCATCAATTTTAACAAGAGGACCAACCCCTGAGCGAGAAAAACACCCCCATACCATTATACTCCCAACCCCATGTTTTACTGTGGGCATCTGGTACTTATGGCTGTACCGTGTACCTTTTGGTCTTCAGACATAACGTCTCCCGTCACTACCAAACAGTTGAAACTTGCTTTCGTCGCTAAACAGTACAGTATTCCATTTCTGATAAGACCAGGTGAGATGATCTTGAGCAAATTTAAAGCGGGCCATCCTATTTTTCTTTGATATTAGTGGTTTCTTCACCGCAACTCATCCAAAAAGTTCCATGTCATCCAACCTTCTTCTCATCGTGCGTGCAGACACCGATATTCCCCTTTCACCCATTTCTCAAGAAATGTATGTGGATGTTTTTCTTGGATCTCCCATTGATATTCTCTTCATTACTTTCATTGTCCTGTTGCATAACTTTCTTGGTCTTCCTGACTTAAAAGCTGTTGAAACGTTCCCTGTTTTATTAAATTTACGAATTATTTTCGAAACGGTGCCTTTTAAAATGTTTAAATTTTTAATTATTTGAATTTGTTTATAACCGCTCTTGTATAATTCAACTATTTTATTTTTTAAATCCGTAGAGAAATATTTCGACTTGGGCATGATGTTTATATTTATCTGAAGCAAATCGTACCGTTTATCAGCTTAAACTAAATAATTTTAATGTATTTATTTATGGTTTCCATACTTTTGGCTACAAGAAATCTATTGTTCTCCTACAAAAACTGCTAAACAGATTTTTTTTCGCTGTGTAATTTTTGGAATACTTTTATTTGCTGATAAGCTGTTCATTTATATTCCTGAGAGTTTAAGCATAGCAATATTTTCTGTGATATTTTAAAAAGTAAAAAGTTTCCATGCTTTTGGCCACCACTGTAATTTCAAGCCCGACTCTAGATTTTTAAATTATTTAACCTGATTATATTCATGGTAACAATAAGGAAAATCAAGCCAATTGAAAGATTTAAATTAATAATATCCAGATCAGCAATTTAAAATATATTATTTTTAACTTTTTTTGTGAATTTGAAATCTCAATGTATGATCTAATAATATGCATAATATTAATCCTAGTTATTATACATATATCAACTTCTACAAACAAATTTCTAATGCTCTTCATGTTTGAAAGGGTTTATTTAATACCACCCTCCCTATTGCACACATTTATTTTTCGTTCAATTTTATGTATAGCCCTTTCAACAGGTCTTATACTTCCGAATGCATTTTGTACTCTTTGTTGTAAATGATGAGGTATATTGATTTCACTTTTACAAATGACGTCAACACACAGGTTCAGGAACCTCGCTGGCCATTATGCTGCTCCACCATTCCCAATCCATCTTCCGAGGAAATTATTTTATTGTTTATATTAGGGCTGCACCGAGTACCGAGTAGTTCAGTGCTCGGTCAGAATTTTAACCGAGTAATATGTACTTGGTGCTCGGCCTTACTCGACCGGGTAGGCCGAATAGAGTATAGTAATAGAAACAATCTATTTATGCATGTCCAAAACAGAAAGAAATGAAACTCACAGTGGCAAATAATAAAATAAACAAAAAGTTATTCATTCATAACTCTAACTAATGTATTTTAGCAAAGTAATAATAATAAGTATAAGTAATAACACAAACACAGTGAAATAATAATTTAATACATTTTACTTTTAATAATTTTACTTATAATCTAAAAGAGGTCAGCACTGTCACTCATTTTAATATAACTTTAAAGGGTATTATTAATTGTTTGAATTATTTTTCACTGTTAAATTAGTTACACATATAAGTTTTGCTTAAAACAAAATCAACGTCGCCACCTTAAAAGAATCAATTCAGAATCCAGCACATTAGAAATATCAGTTTGCATGGGGAACCACAGAACAAAACAATATCTCCATAAGCAAAACAAATCAGGTCATTGGTTTGTAGTCGGGGAATCCCAGCCGCTCGCCAATCATAGGCAAAACAAACAAGATCATTGGTTTAAGCCCGGAGAATTCTCCGGGAATTTTAACTAGCTATATATTTATATTTATATTATGTATAAAATATAATATTATTATGTTATGGTGGATAGTATAATTAGTATATATTGATAAAGGTCGCATAAGTGTTAAGACTATTAAAAACCCGACAATTCCACTACTCGGCAGCCAAGTACTAGTTACTCGGCCATTACCTTTAGCCGAGTACTCGGTACTCGGTCAAGTTAAAAAAACAGGGCTCGTTACAGCCCTAGTTTATATTATATTTATCTTATTTATTTTATATCATTTTATTGTATTTTTGATTTTCCGTATTCAATGATTTATCTCACGTCATTGTTCAGTTTTAAAACTCCTCAATATTGTAACAATGAATAGATTAAATATTTAAAAAAAAACAGAGCCGGACTTTAGTTTAAATAAATTGTGTTCAAATTTCCGAAACAAAAAAAAATTATGTGTGGCACATCATTGTACTCAGGAGGCCGAGTTCTTTCAAAATCTGAAATAACAAATGCAGGTCCGTATTTAGAAAAATCAAGTTGGCCTCTGTATCTTACAAATTATCAGATAATTTAAACATCTAAAAATACTATCAGACAGCCCTAGTAAAGTGGCTATGAAAATGTGCAATTAGTTTTTTGATTTTTTAAACAGTAACGACAGGAAAAAATAAAATTGATTTGCAAAAAAACCGTTTTTTCCAAAAACTCAGCAATCCTTGAAATTTTTAAAACTTTTTTGATGGCATCTTGGTGAACATCCCAAGGCGCAACTTTGCCCCAATTTAACCATCTTCGTATCTATTACGGGTTGCGAGATACCAATGCTCGTACCTCGAATTTGTAGCACCCTGTATAGATATTGACGGTAATTGACGTTCTGCTTAGTATAAATAAAATATGATCTTAGAAAGACTGAAGTGTATCTAATCATTTTAGATTCGGCTTTTAATTTTTTTCGATATTTTCGGGATCCTGGGATTTAATATCGGGATCCCGGTTTGGAAACGCCATTTTTATCCCATTAAATATTTAAGTTTGCAGCCACAAAATAGTTTATTTATCTTAGTTTTCTAAATGTATTACTATATCTAAGAAGACGGTGTATTTTTAATAATTGTTTCGTTTTTAGATTACTGAACTGAAAGCGAAACATTTTACTACAGAATCTGAATTGCGGGTAAAAATGAAGACTAGCCTAAAAGAACACGAAGACAAAGTAGACACGCTGAATAAAAGAATATCGGGCCTATTAAAACAGGTCGCAGGTCTTTCGAAAACGGCGAAAAAGGGCTTAAAAGGAGATTTAACAGTTACTTCAGATGCGAATAATAGCAGTGGAACAGACAGTCCCAGTATACAATAAATTGTTATTCTTTATATGGTAAGGAAGAAATTAAATTAATTTTGATATTCACTTTATATTTTATAAAAAAAATCAATGTCATTAAGCGCTTACTAAAGTCTTTAGTAAGAAAAATTGAGGATTAGAAGTGTCTTAATGTATTTATTTAAGTGTTCTTAAATTATTTATTTTATTGATATATTAATAGAATTTTTGTCGTTCGTAAAAGTCTGCATAGATTACCATTTATCTGAAATTATTTCCTAATTTATAATAATTGAAGGTTTGACGATATACCAATGAAAAATAAAAAATAGATTAACACCAAATAGTAAGCAACAAATAGAAATATATTATTGAGTTATCGAAAAACATATCTGAACTTTGTTCAGATGTCATTTACGACCGATCAAAACAATGATCGTTTCTGGCAAAAGCATATGTGCAAATATCTCACGTTCCAGTATATCACAAATCTTGACAACAGTATCGATCTTGCTTTTCAATTGACTGTTTCGTTGTTTTTGTACGTTTTGCATCTAACATTAAGTGTATTTTTTGTTATTTAGTTTGAAGAAATTAAATCACAGCCTATTCAGCACCAGCTAGCTTAAGTATTCGCTTGTCACCTACTGCGAATCTCCATACAAATGATCGTCAGCTAGCTGCTTATGAATAAGCTGGAAATAAATTAACGTGTATTTTGAGTGGTACAATAATTAAGAAAGAAAGAAATATGTATTTTTATTTGATGTGCATCCTTAAAATACTATCTATAATTATTTGCCGAAAAATAAATTAAAATACGGCCTTTCTTCAAGGTACACGTGACTTTTTTCAAATCGAGTATAAATGAAATGGAATATAATAATATTGACTCAACATGCTCAATAAGAAAATATATAACGTTTCAAACAATGTATAGTAAACGCCACGAATGTTTGGGAGTGATTCATCGGTCGCTACCACGTGAACTGATCTGTTCAAGGTCACGTAAAACTTAATTCCAGTGCCGTGGTGTTTCAAGTCATATAATAATCAATATATAATCTGTTGTAATTTGTTGTTTTAACTGTCAAAGTCTTGTCAAAACATATATTTGGTTATAAATATAAAATGGAATGCCCCATTGGTCGCACTGCAAGCACACCAATGGACTGACGCACAAAAACGAATCAATCAAAGAAACGCGATATAGTATCGTCTTTGTCAATCATGCTAACATTTTAGAATAAGTAGGAAGAGCGCAGGCAGATGATTAGACCGGGCCTTTAAAAACCTACGTCTGCGGTAAAAATTTACGTTTTTAATGTAAAAATTATAGCGCGCGTGTCGATTCTAACTTCATCCAGCGATGAATCACTCCCAAACATTCGTGGCGTTTACTATAGTAGCAAATTACAAATATGCCTGTATTGGGTGGTATACTTCATAATAAATATAAACTCCTCTCTTTATATTTACACTTTATTATAACATTTTGAAGAAAACTGTCCTTTATAGTTTATATTAGATGCATTACTGTAAAAAATTATAATGCTAAAAGCCGTTAACCCCTTTTATATACAGTGCGTTCCTTGATGACATGCTAATATTTAAGGGGGTGGTTCTTGGACCTATTGTAAGAGAAAAACTTCATATGAATGTATGTCCTAAACAGTGCCGTCCATACGGGTTTTGTATTGAATATTTTTGAAGAAAAAATTGGTACACCACTGGCTTCTTAAAATAAAAATTATTTTCAAAATCTCCCATTCATTTCTGAACAATTTTATCTCATGATTTTTTCGTCCGGTGCATATTTATTGCTTAAAAAAAGTCAGTTTACTTCAGGGTCAAATCACTGAAAATCTGATGCGGTGATGGTGCATCCATACCATCCTAGAAAAAGCGGAACGGCGTATCGGCGTTGAATCGATTTCCAGCAATTCTATTGGCTGAAATTTGTGACAGATGATGTTTCGAAAAATTTCAACCAATAGAATTGATGGAAATCGATTCAAGGTCGTTACGCCGATACGCCGTTAGGTTTTTTCTAGGATGATGTGGATGCACCCTCAATTCGTTACTGCATCGGCTGGAAGGAAATTAAGAAATGAACCTTTTTTTTTCGTATATCAAAATATGCATTTTGATGCATGGAAAAATAACATCAGAACTATTTTGAAAAAAAAATTGAAAAGTTAAGATGTTTAGGACATGCATTCATTTGAAGTTTTTTCTCAGAATTGGTCCAAGAATCGCCCCCTTAAATACTAGCATGTCATTAAGGGACACCCTGTATAAAACAGGCATTTTTGTAATTTGCCGTCCTGAAGCCCCGTTCTCAAAACTGCGTTGTGCCGTTGGCCACACTTCAGAGAACCAATAAAATTTGTACTAAATTCAAATTTGACAGGTGTTTGAATTTAGTACAAATCTCATTGGGTCTTTGAAATGTCAGTCAGTGTCGTAGTGTCACGCCAACGACACTACGACGTTCTGAAAATGGGGCTTGACAGTTACATAAGATATCTCAAATTGAGATTGGATGCTGAATCAATTTTACATAACTGCTTTTTCAATGACTCAACAATATAATTTGTTTCATTGATTTGTTAGTTACTTTTTGATAGCTTATTTTAAACTAATAAATAAAACACTGATTGCAAAATAAGTAATAAAGTTATTAATTACGAAAAAATATTTTTGTGAACTTTTTGAATATCGCTTTACGGGAAATTCAGGAGTAAATGAATTAATTGTACCCTACCATTAAAATGTTTTTTAACAATAAAGCAATTTTTGACATCAATCATTTTGACACAAATGAAGAAATTATAAAATCACATGCTATTTGCTCAGCTGAGAAGCTTTTTTATTTTCTCAGTAGTAAAATTTTTCATCATTTATTCTAAAATATTATCAGTTTATTTATGTACCTTATTTTTTTAGCCAATAATGATATATTTATGACTTTTTAGCTGTTAAGTATTCAACTTTATACTTCTAAAATATATATTTTACCTGAATTGAGTCATAATGGCCTTAGTAACATTAAAATATATTTTTTATGAATGAGCAAAAAATGTTTAGATATTAATTCCAATTGGAACGGTTTCATCTGAAATTCTAGTTTTATCATTTTTTTGTAACATATTTCTTAAACTTATTGTATAATAGTTATAAATACTTATTTTTTTATATTATACATTTTCAAACAATCCCGTAGCATAATAAATTTTGTTTCTGTAAGATACAGTTATTTATATTGTAAAAATGTAGCTTCAAAATTTTGTTTCATCATATATGGTTAAGGTCTGTGAAATACACAAAGATAATATATTCAAAAATACCCTTTTCTTTAACCATTAGTGATTTTTTTTATTTTTAGCCTCAATACTAAATATACCTATATTTTTTCAAAGTTTTTTTGTGTATGTTCTATCTAATATCGTGTGATGAATGTCCATTTTAGTTGCAAATGGGGGTTTTATTGCTTATTATGAAAGATAAAACCTTGTAGTTTTTGTAAATATGAGCTACTTTTTGTGAAACCAAAGACACGGCAACCAAAATTTGCATGTCCTGAGTTTCCATAATATAGGGTGATATCAAGAACAGTTAACTTAATAGGACTGCTCATTCAGCCAAAAGTGTCTGCCAAGTGAATGCGAAAACTCCTCGCTTTGTGACGTCATTGTAGTCCTTATCCGGCAACCAGTAATACACACACGTGCATTATTGGTTGCCGGATGCAAAACGTTTATTATTTAGTTTATTATATTAAACACCTTATATGTATGCAGTATAGCATCGCCTAACAACAGTATCATCACCAACCATAACAGCAGTTCCCAGCATCACCTTTTGCAGGCATTCTTTTTAAAGTACTTCCATATTTTGCTTTATAATAATTAATAAACAATATCGTAGGCACTTAGTAAGCACTTTGTCACAATCCACAACACAAAATGAACGTATTTATACACTCTATAGCTCTAAAAACTTTAAAAACACCTTTTTCACGTTTAAAATTAACAAAATAATTAACTCAAAATTTCTCAGCTTTTATTTTTATAAGTTTACCATAGGCAACTAATAATACACACTATCATGACAAGGCCACGAAGGCTTTGACAAGGGCTACAATGACGTCACAACTGTCAGCTGAAGCGCGGGAAGAGGCGAACGTACGTCTTATGAGGATGAGCAATCCTATTAGTTCACCGTTCTTGGGGTGATATATTTGTGGTGTATACCGGGTGTTTTTCAAAAGTGACTCATGCCCTATAACTTCTTTATTTTTAAACGGTTTTATTTAGCTCGACCCGTACGGTATTTATTTATTTGTTTGTTTATTTGGGTCAAAATTAGAAATTGAAATTTAAGTACCTTCCTGTTGTCAGATTGATCTGAAATTTGGTACACATCTTTAGTTCCGATGACAATACAATATAGTAATATCAATAACATTGTAAATCTAAGGTGGCCGCCGGTACAAAAAGGGCGGATTTCATATTTTTCCACAACCCCCTCAATATGGGTATCAAATGAAAGGGCTACACTAGTAGAATACTGTGATTATGACAAAATTTAAAATCCAAGATGGACGTCGTTACAAAATGGCGTATGAGGGCATGAGTAGTCGTGTCCAGAACAGTTGTGTCCAAGATTGTGTTAGAAGGACAGGTAAAAAAAATAGGTGATTAGATGTACCTACGTAGTTAGCGGTAGCTTTACCACCCAAGTTAAGGTAATAGGTTAAAACGTGCTGAGGACTGTATGGCATTAGGGTGGCTAAAAATGTAATGTCGCAAGCGTTTTCCTCTCAAGATTGGGCGCCTCTTGTTGTATATTATAGCCTTGCCCCTCTACTGGACCTCTGGGGGTCGACCGTTAAAATGTCCATTACTCGTGGGAACAACATGGAAACAATAAATAAAAAACAAACAAAAATAAAACGAAACTGCTACACAACGAAAAAGAAGGCTCGAAAAGGCGAAAGAAAAGTATAGAACGAAACGTGCAAAAGAAAGTGAAAATGAAACCTATAGTCGACTACAGAAACGAAGAGAACGGTTAGCAACAGAAACACCTGAGCAACATAATGCCAGGTTAATAGCACAACGTGAGAGACAAAGACAGCTGGTAGAGTCAGAAACACCTGAGCGTCATGAGTCCAGGCTAGCATCACAACGTGACAGACAGAGAGAGTTGTTAGCGGCAGAAACACCTGAGCGTCATGAGTCTAGGCTGGCATCACAACGAGAGAGACAAAGAGAGTTGTTAGCGTCAGAAACACCTGAGCGTCATGAGTCTAGGCTAGCATCAGAACGCGACAGACAGAGGGAGTTGTTAGCGTCAGAAACACCTGAGCGTCATGAGTCCAGGCTAGCATCACAACGTGACAGACAAAGAGAGTTGTTAGCGTCAGAAACACCTGAGCGTCATGAGTCTAGGCTGGCATCACAACGAGAGAGACAAAAAGAGCTAATAACATCAGAAACACCTGAGCAACGTGAGGCCAGATTAACAGGACGGCGTGAGAGACGAAAGGAGTTAGAAGCTTCAGAAACACCTGAGCAACGTCAAGACAGGTTAAATAACCAACGCGAGCGTGCACAGCAACGCAGAGGGCAGAAGGGCAAGCATACGTGGCTCTAAGTCGAGTCAAGTCTCTGGAAGGGCTATGTATTGAGGAATTAGATTGTAATAAATTATCAGGTAAAAAACCATGTAATAGTGATGCACTAAATGAATTAAATAGAATGAGGAATATTCGGTAGGCATTTCCGTTAAATACTAAAAACTAGAAAATAATAACAATTAGATATTTTGAACTTCTAGTTCAGAAATATTTTAGTACTAGGCAGAATAGCTTTTAGGCATATTAGACTAAAATAAAAACGTGGGGCCCATTAACTATTGCTGTAATACTTTCTTCTATACTAAGTGTGGATTGCATCGACTTACTATAATCGTAACTGGAGATTTTGACAATCAATAACCAGCCGTGGCGGCTTCACCAGCGAACGCCGAGCTCATGATCTACCAAAGTATAAAGATATGCTTTGCCATAGGTAGGATTTCAGAGGGGCCCCACGTTTTTATTTTAGTCTAATATGCCTAAAAGCTATTCTGCCTAGTACTAAAATATTTCTGAACTAGAAGTTCAAAATACCTAATTGTTATTATTTTCTAGTTTTCAGTGCACATAAGATAAAACCGTTTAACTTAAAAGTTTTTTTACCGATTTTTTCAGATAAAAACGAGGTTTTGCATGTTAGTATAGGATATAAATCAGGATTGATTGACGTTTTTAATGAGGAAAATGCATGTTTTTAAATAATGGTTTTAAAAAACAGTTCATATAAATACAAATTGAACAAAAAAAATCGTTGATATCGGTTAAGAAATGCCTCTAATATAAAATAATTAAATATTGTTAATTTAAATGGCCGGGCAAACGCTCTCTACCGCGCCTTGCCGCTGTAACGTCACCCGCCGTTCTTCTGGTTGAGTGGAGCCAGACGCGTGTTTATTTTACACAGTTTGCTTTTAAACGCTGTTGAATCAGAGGCAAAATTTTAGTTATTTGTGTTAATTAATACATAATTAGTAATTAGTGATATTTATAAATAGTAATGGATGAGCGAAAACAGAAAAAAATGGTCCAAGGCCATGAGAAGAGATGAATAGAAAAACGTTAAATTATCCTCTATTTTTACGATTTATTGTTGTGAAGATCATTTTGATGTAAGTTCATATATTTATGTATATTGTCTTACATAGGTATATGAAATTTGAATGTACAGGGTTATTCATTATATTTTGACACCCACATACAGCCTTAACTGCAAGTTTTAGAAGAAAACAATAAATAAAAAAGTTGCATGCTTTTTCATATACTCTCTTTTAAAATTAATTCTAGTTATACAGGGTGTCTCAAAAAAGGTGGTTCTGAAAATTGTAGGTATTTTTCGCTTTTCAACTGTCAATATTTCGTAAACATTGGAAGATAGGTATAGGATATTATACATGAAATATATCTAGAATATCTAGAAATTTCCGAAGAATCCAAAAATATATAGGGTGTTTCACTTAAAAAAGTAACTTAATTTTGGCGTTTGCTTATGGGACACCTTGTATAATATTTTCATTACTGATAAACAATTTATTTCCTATAATTTCGTAAAAAACAATCTTTAAAAATAACAAGGGTATGGGGGTGTCAATATATAAAAAAAACTTTCTTTTTCACGCTATGCTCTGGAGTTATTTTTCCACGTACTAAACAAATATTTTTGTCTCTTTTCACTTCTACATAACCTACAGCATTATCTCCATACGGCTCCCTACCTGATCTGAAAAATAAGTTTATAACATTAATATCTATAACTATATAAAAGTTCGTAACAGTAGGTACCTACTTATACTTAAATATGCCTCAATACTACAAAGAATAAATGTTACATACCTCTCTGTTTTTTTCCTCGTAATTCAGCACCAATAAATTGGGAATTTGTATTTATAAAAGCAGCCAACATAAAAGCATCGACTTTTGGCAAGTTATCTGATTGTGCTTTTACAAACCCGGAATCTGCCATTACTTAAAACATTCTCAGAACACACAACACATACAAATAATAACTGCACAAAAAAGCATAAAAAGCCCCTTCAATCAACGCTAAAAGCAACAAAAATGTCTTAGTACGCCACCTAAATACGTACATAAACGGAACACGTCTGGCTGATTCTGGCCATCGCGCTTCGACGAGAACGGCGGGTGACGTCAGACCAATAGAATATCGTTTCAATTCGAGAGGCGTCGTTTGCGTTATCCATAGTATTTTAATGGCCCGTTTTATAAAATTGTGGTACTGCTTTCAAGAAAAAAGTTTTTTTTTGCATTTACACGTATTTATTCTAATAAATTGAACAGTTTCTGGCGAAAAATAAAATATATGCATCTTCCTCATTTTCAGTCGCTTCCTGTTTCACCGGAAATTACTACAACTTTTAATTCCGAAAATCCAAACCATCTGAATAGAATGATGTATTGCATGTCATCTTTTGACATTTAAAAAAAATGTATTTTAAATTTCAACCTAGAGTGTTTAAATAAATAACGACAATAAATATAGGTAACAATAATTATAAAATTATTTCTAAAAATTACTTTTTACAAATGTGCTAATGAGCTACACTGGTTCCATTTGAAAAAATTGAGTTATGATTAAAAATACGGTTATTTGGTCATATTTTAACCAGCCAGGAAAAGACACGAAAAATATTAGACATGGATTAGACGTTCAAATCTATTTTTCCAAGGCTCCTTGATTAAAAATTAGTGGTTTTAACATGGTTTAACACAACCATTGCACTCTAGATTGAAATTTAAAATACTCTTTGATTTTTAAATTAACATATATATTTTTTAAAACTTACTAGTCAAACTTACTTTAAGCAATGAATTTAACTGAAATGTCTACTTTCATTAAACCAACATAAAATGATAAATTTAATTTCGTGGAAACATTAAACCAACCTAACCAACTCACAACGAGCGAGAAAACACGCATTTGCAACTAAATTGAGCCATTATGTACATACATCATCTAGTAAAAGACGGTACGTCATTTGAATATCTTTTGCGATAATTTATGTTTACTTTTATTTTTAACATTATTGTTTCATGGTAGCAGTTTTTGCAGTTAAATTAGCGCTAAAAATATTATAACCTTGCTAATTGGAACTTGGGAAACCAGTTCCTTAACAACTTCTAGTAACCCTACTAATTACATTCTTTAACGCCTCCCCTGATCTAGTCTATGAACAGCCTTAGCATGTAAAAAATCAAGAAGTGTCATTTTTTGGACCCATACAAAACTATAGTCTTGTAACTGTAAAATCAACTTGTTCGTATTGTGTTGTAACATAATAAAGAGGTTATCAATAACTTTTACTTGGAATAAAACAATTTCCTTATTTTTATCATAGTTAACAATATTATCGTACCCTTGTAGTTTTATTTAAAGAAAGTATTTTTGTAAAGTAATCTGTATTGAAATAAAACAAAAGAAACTTAATTTGCAGTTTTTATTTATTGATCATAAAACAAGATATATTTCTATAACTAATTAAAAACAGTTAAAAAACAACGATAAAATATAAGTAAAATTATATTTGTTAGTAGGAACCAACACCTACTACTGAAGCCACTTTTTATTGTCTCATAGATATTTTTCTCTTAATAATACTTTCAATTACTATTATATAATGTTCAATCTTCTATTACAAAAAATCAATCGATAATTGTGGCTCTGTATATTACAGGGGGATTTAAGATTTCGTCCTTGCATTGAATTAATTTCAGTTCCTTATTTTTTGGTTCCATTTCCTTTCCTTTAAGTATAAATGATTGTATAAGCTAAATTACAATTTTTTTCGACATACCTTCTAAATAGGCCAGAGTTTTTTTCAAAACTGCTTGTACAACAGCTACTGTTTTCTCTAAGGATTCCTTTAAATTAGATTCAGTCTGATACATAAAACATAACAAAAGGGCACTAAATAAATCGCCTGTGCCAGTGAAACTAGCTGGTATTTTTTCTATTTCAATTTGTACTTTTACGGGATTACCTAAAATTAATATCAAAGTTGTTTTTATTTAGAAATGTTAAAATTTTTAAATAAGGCTATTAAAACAATAAGATATTACTATAACCAAACAACTATAGTAAACGCCACGAATGTTTGGGAGTGATTCATCGCATGATGAAGTTAGAATCGACACGCGCCCTATCATTTTTACATCAAAAACGTAAATTTTTACCGCAGACGTAGGTTTTTAAAGGCCCGGTCTAATCATCTGCCTGCGCTCCTCCTACTTATTCTAAAATGTTAGCGTGATTGACAAAGACGATACTATATCGCGTTTCTTTGATTGATTCGTTTGTGTGCGTCAGTCCATTGGTGTGCTTGCAGTGCGATCAATGGGGCATTCCAGTTTATATTTATCTTTGAATAAGAAGACTAAGGAAGGAGCATAATGCTATCCATGTATTCATGCATGGTGGGTGGAAAAAGCGCCATAAAAGCACTCTAGGGTGGGGATCCTTGACAGTTCTGTTTGACGATTCATTTGACACATTTGAATTTGATTTGAAATTTTGTGGATTTGTCAGTCTTTAAGGAGCTTATTTTATGTTATTTATTATTTATTCTACTACTGATAGTTGTATAAAGGTAGTAAATCTAGATGGAAATTGTGGCAGCACTTAAATTAACAGTGACACTATCGCGATTTATCGAAAAAGACTCTAAAATAGTTGGTTGTGTAGCGTGCGGTAGATCTCGGCAAAAATTGAGTGAAATAATGGAACAACTTTTCGCTAGTAAGTGACTATATAGTATACATACGTGTAGTAAACCGATTATTTATGAAATTCACTTAAATTAACTAAATTATATATTTTTCTTGCATTTTAGCTTTTATTTATTACTTACAGTAGCGTATCGGATGTTTGTGGTAATAAATACTTATTATAACTATTAAATATCTATTTTTATTAGAATTATATATTTTTATAACAATTTTAATAACTACCAACATTTATTCACAACGTAAAATAAAACAACAAATTATTGAGTCTACCCCACGTCTACCCTACATCATAGTTTTACATTTTTTAAATAAAATTAGAACGACACTGATAAACCGGAATTTAAGTCGGCCATATTTGAGGCCCATCGCGGTGTACCTAAGATTTTTGATATGCTCCTTCCTTAGTCTTCTTATTCAAAGATATTTATAAACAAATATATGTTTTGACAAGACTTTGACAGTTAAAACAACAGATTATATATCGATTATTATATGACTTGAAACATTACGGCACTGGAATTAAGTTTCATGTGACCTTGAACAGATTAGTTCACATGGTAGCGACCGATGAATCACTCCCAAACATTCATGGCGTTTACTTTAGGAGTATTAAATAAAAATTAATACTCACTTAAATACCGTGCTGGCAACTGTTACTCTTGGGTCGGTATTTACATGTGAGGGATCTTATTAAGTCGGAGTGAGAGAAATGCGACGGAGTGCTTTTGCGGCGTTGCCGGTACGCCCTATCAAGTAAAGTAAAATCACGATCGCAAACCGCTTATTTTTAAAAGACTTTTTTTTCGAAAAGATAACTATTTCAAGCTATAGGAAAAATTACAACGACTCGTTAATAAATAAACAAATCAAGTATCACGAGACGTAATTAAATCGTGAAGCTGAACGCATGATGTACACCTTTCCCTAGAACTTTAACACGTTCGCTACCAAGTGGCTCATATATGCGCCACAAGGATTTTTCTCATAGACCAGCGTCACACATTTGAGCCGTGGTTTCTACTGTACTAAATGATGAACAAAATATTAACGTTCGCAGATAGCGGTTTGTGCTTTGCATGTGGTCTATAGGAAAGTGTGGCGCATATCTGAGTCGCATGGTCTGTGCTTTGCTTCCACCGTTTAGTAGAAACTGAGTGTCAACCGGTACAACATAACATCCGAATTGTGCTGTGCTTTATTCTTGTTTTTAGTCCATGTAAGTGTTTTTTGTTTTACATATTATTAGGTATGGTATTTTGTATGATAATTCTACTAGAAAACAAAAAAAAATCATTATTACCACAAAGAAAATAAAACGTGCTGGAAAAGTGAGGTTACGTCACAAAATATTTTCCATTTTAGGCGCACGCTGTATTTCAAAGGTTTTTCGTCAATCTCGTTGTTTTTCTCTCAATTTCGTATGTTTGCTACATATTTACTCGTAACACGCGTAATAATATTCCCTTTGATGTTGTTTCAGTGTTTAGCTGGGATGGCTAAAAGAACATTTCTAAGCGAGAAAGACCTTCAAGAAGAGGCCGACAAAATTATGAACTCAGAAAATAATGAAAATCTTTCTCAGATGCTGGAACCTGATGAAATTCCAGAAATGTTTTCAGATTCTGGAAGTAGCTACAAGCCTTCATCAGAATCGGGTTCTAGTGTGGAACATTGTCCAAGTAGTGACTCGGAACATTTTAGTGATGAACCACATAGCGACCTTGATGAAAATGTTCCTGATAATGAACCAACGAATAATCAAGACGATATCGATAGTGACTGGGTCGAAATTGACGGTGAACCAGAGATTTTCGATTTTCTAGAAATCGAAGGGTTGAAAGTAAATATTTTAGAAAGCTCTACTGTCAGATATATATTTGAACTATTGTTTGATGACAACTTATTTGAAAAAATTTGTGAATGGATCAATCTACGTGCACTGTCAGTTATAGGCAATGTAATACCGAAGCATTCTACAATGAATAAATGGAAACCAATAACTCCTGATGAATTCCGCCGTTTTCTCGCATTATGTATGCTAATGGGGAACATAAAAATGCCCAACGTTAAGTGCTACTGGAGTAGGAATCCACTGTATGCCCACCCAATATTTGGAAATACAATGTCAAGAAATAGATTCGAACAAATTTTACGGTGTTTATGTTTTACCAAAAAAGATGATATAAAAACTTCTCGTTTACATAAAATTGAACAAGTTGCAGACCATCTTTTTGAAAACATACGACAGGTCTTATATCCTGGAAAAAACCTTTCCCTAGATGAAGCTTTGCTACTTTGGCGTGGACGATTGATATTTCGTCAGTATATTCCTAATAAGAGTGCAAAATATGGAATAAAATTGTATGAGCTTTGCACCCCTGACGGCTTTGTTTTAGAATGTCTGGTTTATACTGGGAAAGACACAGTTAACAATGAGACTGGCCATGCACAAGCTGTAGTAACAAAACTAGCTGAGCGATATTTTGGGAAAGGTCACACATTGTACTTGGACAATTATTACAACAGTGTAACTCTTGCAGAATTTCTTTATGAAAAAAAAACTCATGTGGTAGGAACATTGAGAAAAAACCGGAAGGGGAACCCAAAAGTAGTAGTTAACTACAAATTACGCAAAGGAGAGAGCATTTTCCGAAAAAAGAAAAATTTGATGGTCTTGAAGTGGAAGGACAAGCGCGACGTACTCATGATAACGACGTTGCATGGACCTGGATCTGAAAAAACTACTAATAAACGAGGGGCCGAACAAGAGAAACCGAGTGTTGTGGTTGACTATAACAAACATATGTCCGGTGTGGACAGGAGTGACCAAATGCTCTCATATTATACGACACCCAGAAAAACTATTAGGTGGTACCTAAAACTATTTTTCCATTTTGTAGACATATGCTTATGGAATGGTACATATTTGCACAACGTTGCTAAGAAAAAAAAAATTACGTACCTTGAATTCAGGGAGCTGCTGATACATGACTACCTTCAAGTTCAACTTCCATCAAGGAAAAGTCAGGTGAAACATTCATCTCATTATCCCAAAAAAACAGAAAAACGAAGAAGATGCCGAATTTGTTCCTCAAAAAAGAAAAGGTCACTGACATTTTTTCTTTGCGAGAAATGTAAAGACAAAGATGGAAAAGTGATTGGGCTGTGTGTAGATCCATGTTTTCGGGAGTATCACGAAGGCAGCCAGTAGATGATCTTTAGTATTTATGTCATTAGAAGTTTTTTTTTTGTTTTTTTTTGTGAGTTTCTTGATTTTGTTTGTTCTTGTGTTATCAGAATACTTTATTTTAAATGTAAAGACAAAGATGGAAAAATGATTGGGCTGTGTGTAGATCCATGTTTTCGGGAGTATCACGAAGGCAGCCAGTAGATAATCTTTAGTATTTATGTCATTAGAAGTTTTTTTTTGTTTTTTTTTGTGAGTTTCTTGTTTTTGTTTGTTCTTGTGTTATCAGAATACATTATTTTGTTCGTGTTTTGAAAGAAATAGAGTTTATTTACTTATATTTGTTAGTTTTATTACGTCTCATATTTGCGACATATGGTCTATGATATTTCCAGTCATGCTATAGACCAGCGTCACATATATGAGCCGGATCAAAAAATCCTACAGGAATTGCATATTTTCCTCTCATATTGGATATATTACAATCAGAGAAGGTTTATTTCTTCTAATTTGTCATAATCTATATATGGTCCAGCAGGACGAAACATAAGAACAGCCCTGGTAGCGAACGTGTTAAGTACTGACAGAGGTACTGATTGGGTCGACCGGTCAACTGCGACAAATATGCTATAGTAAACGCCACGAATGTTTGGGAGTGATTCATCGGTCGCTACCATGTGAACTAATCTGTTCAAGGTCACATGAAACTTAATTCCAGTGCCGTGGTGTTTCAAGTCATATAATAATCAATATATAGTCTGTTGTAATTTGTTGTTTTAACTGTCAAAGTCTTGTCAAAACATATATTTGGTTATAAATATAAAATGGAATGCCCCATTGGTCGCACTGCAAGCACACCAATGGACTGACGCACAAAAACGAATCAATCAAAGAAACGCGATATAGTATCGTCTTTGTCAATCACGCTAACATTTTAGAATAAGTAGGAGGAGCGCAGGCAGATGATTAGATCGGGCTTTAAAAACCTACGTCTGCGGTAAAAATTAACTTTTTTAATGTAAAAATGATAGCGCGCGTGTCGATTCTAACTTCATCAAGTGATGAATC